GAGATACAACTATTTGAATATCTGGAATCTGAGGGTGCAAAAAAATTTAAATATTTAGAAAATCATCTTTAAAGTTGTCCAAATGAAGTTCTTAGCAATGCATATTACTAATCACAAATTAAGTTTTGATATATTTACGGTAGGAAATTGACAAAATATCTTCATGGAACGTGATCTTTACTTAATATCCTAATGATTTTTGGCATAAAAGAAAAATCGATAATTTTGACCCATACAATGTATTGTTGGCTATTGCTACAAATATACCCCAGCGACTTAACACTGCTTTTGTGCTCCAGGGAGACATATGTCAGTGGGAAACTTGCACAGACTCATTCTCCTCTCGTATTCGAAGTTTCTACGACTGTACCGCTTCTTCTTTAGCAGCATGGGATGAGAACATATTTTTTATAATTTCTTTGGTCAAGAAAAAGTCAAAGTTTGTATTACATTTACTCCTTTTTAACCGTGAAACACTTGCTCTGGCTGGATGCGCTTAAATCTGCTGTATATGGATGCTTTCCTGTCACATATCACACGTCTGCACTTCAGTAAACCAGCAGAACGCAGGTTACGGTGTTTACACGTCAAATCAGGCTCATGGGCACAAATATCGCTGTCGACTGCTTTATGTTTAAGTTGTTTACATGACAGAAAAAGCAAAAATGATTCCAGTGAAAAAAGTATTATGACTCCCATCATCATCATCATCACACTCACACGTCTTGCATGCTGCATTTGGTTTCGCTCCAGCAGCTTCTTGTTGAATCCAGACTCAGTTTGTTTTGTGTGTTTGTGTGACTCCAGGTGTCCACTCTTCCTGTGGAGCAGAGAACGCTGAAGTCCACTGTGCCAGAGGGATCCGACACACACGCTGAATGTCTGCTGGTCAGACAGGTGAGTTCAGGTCTGGAGACGGAGCAGGCCATGGGAGATGTTCACCTTCACTTTCATGACACCAGAGCGCTAATTCCACCTTCACACTCTGCTCTTACTGATGCTGCGTGAAATCAGTGGCGTTTGGCCACCAGGCCGTGCATGTACACCTTTGGCCAATGCTTCAGTTTCATAACCCAACCCCTATATATAGGGCCTATATAAAATATATAGTATAGTAATGCTATATGTGACCCTGGACCACAAAACCAGTCATAAGGTCAAATTCTGAAATTGAGATTGATTTATACATTTGTTAGGATAGGACAAAATTTGGCTGAGATACAACTATTTGAAAATCTGGAATCTGAGGGTGCAAAAAAATCTAAATATTGAGAAAATCATCTTTAAAGTTGTCCAAATGAAGTTCTTAGCAATGCATATTACTAATCAAAAATTAAGTTTCTTTACTTAATATCCTAATGATTTTTGGCATATAACGGTACTTAGCTTTGTTTAAGAGAAACATCAGCCAGAAATGAAAACTGCCATCATTTACTCACCCTTATGTCATCCAGATTTCTTAATAATGCTTCAGTTAACATATAGAAGAACACCAGCGTAGATATTTTTAATATTAGCTCATCATTTTTATCCATTCATTGAACCACCAAAAGTTTCATATGCATTTAAGTTTCCAGTGGTTCAGAACCTGACGGGACATGACGAGACCCAATACAGTACTAAAATAGTGTATAGCAGAAAAAATTTATATAGTTGGATGTGCTTTTGTCTATGGTTTGCACAAGCCTTTATAAAGGACCATGTTTGGGTGCAGAATCTCTATATCAAACATTAAAATGCTGGCAGTAACAGATACCTGTTCATTTGTCAGATGGAAACATTTTTAAAACGGTTTTATTTTTGCTTATTTGTTGTTTAGAAAATGTTTACCCTTTGAAATTTACATCAAACATATTTAATATTCGAGCAGTCATTAACTTCACACATCAATGACGCACTTAACATTCTGAAGGGTTTTTGAATTGCAGTGAATACTTTTGTGCTTTTTGTCTTTTAGCTCTTACAGTTGGATGAACCTCTGCCTGTTTTGTTTTGTTTTCTTCTATAGGCCTGTCAATATTACAACTCCCAGCTGCATGTGATCCAGTATAAATATGAAGACTATGCAGGGGACTACCGCACGCTGCCCAGGTACAACTCCATTCACTTTTTTACAGATGAGGATTTTAATGGGGATTTTAAAAATAAGCAAAAATAAGTGCCTTGCTTGACAAAGACAAAACTGAGAATTGACCTCTTATTAGCTTGGACAAGATTGTACTGCCCAGTGGTGATTTGCAGGCAGGCTGTTCTTTTGCCTCAGATCCTTCAGAAGCCTGTTTTCCCACATTTATAGCCCTGTTCACACCGCCAGCAAAACACAGAGACAAAACGGCGTGATCCTATTCGTTTGAGAAGAGTATGTGGGCGTGTCCAGCTGCTTGAGAAAGTTGAGAAATGTTGAACTTTATGCAAATGAGGAGCAACAGAAGCGATAGCCAGTAGAAAACTATCAGTATGTATTTGTTGTATATATTTATTGCTTCTTCTTCATATGCGAGTGTGATTTGAACTTGAATAACATCCAGTAGTCCAGTAACCAGTGTTGGGGATTAACTAGTTACATGTAACAGAATTACGTAATTTGATTACAAAATAAGGTTACACTTTATTTTAAGGTGTCCTTGTTACAGTGTAATTATACTTTTAAATACTGAGTAATATTAGTTAACTACATGTATTTACTATATGGTTAGGTTTAGGATTAGGGTTTGGCTTAGGGTTACTTCGATGTAATTGTGCATAATTAATTGTAATTATAGTATTAAGTACATGTAACGTGTAACAAGGACACCTTTAAATAAAGTGTTACCCAAAATAAATGTAGTTCGCAAAAGTAGGTTTCGGATATAACTCAATTTTGTGGAAAAACGGAGCGTCGTAGAGCAAAAAAGTTAGCTATGCATTTTTGTTTGTACTGACCCAAGGATAGCAACGATGTATAGCTTTTGAGTCTACGACAAACGGTGTACGATCTACGGCCAAAAATGTCGGAAATTTTAGTTTTTTGCGCTGTAGCGCCCCCTATTGGCCGATTGGGCTGAGACTTTGATAGGTTCTCCCCAAATTGAGCTCTATCATTTGGCCAAGTTTCAAGTCTCTAGGCCTTACGGTTTGGTCTGCACGATCAGTTTTAGGGGAGAAGAATAATAATTTTAAAAAAAATAAAAATCCTAACGATTTCAATAGGGTTTCAGTACTGCGTGCTTGAACCCCTAACTAATCTGTGTCATCAAATTACAGTTACTTATGAAAATGTTAAAGATTACAAAGGGGGTTACATCTTAACGTTTTCACACACATACAGATATGATTGAATTATTTCCCAAATTGCATTAACCTCAGAACGATCTCAAAGTAAAAAGAAGTGCTGAAGTCTTATTATTATTCTATATTATTCTAATCGTAATTCAAGTTAAGAAGAGTCTGACCGTAATCAGTGTTGAGAGCTACTGTAAGGTTAACCCTGCCTGTCTTAAATGTTTCAAAATGATCTACAGATTAGAAAAATGTAGAGAAAAAAAATTGAAATTTAGAAAAGTAATCAAAAGATAATCAAATGTAATCAGTTACATTATTTTAATAAAGTAATTGAAATAGTTACAATACTTATTACATTTTAAATAGGGTAACTTGTAATCTGTAACCTTTTGTTACCTTTCCAAAGTAATCTTCCCAGCACTGCCAGTAACTTCATATTAGGTAAAGTTTATTAACAAACAAAATGAATTGGAAAATGCTACACAGTCAAAAACTGACATCACCATCACTTTGCAATATTATATTAAACATATTAAATTATTTTACACAGTTATTTAACAACAATGCTTAATCTGTATAATTATATTATTATTTCTTACAAAAAGCCATATTTATGATGTTTTGGGAATTTTTTGGCAGAGTCAGTTTAAATGGTGTATTGATAGATCGGTCGTCAGGTTTAATGCACTAACACTGCTGAAGTTTATAACAACACTTTCCAACAGCAGAAAGCTACTTTTTAGTGACAAGAAAACAAATTCCTTGTCAAATCAGAATAGTTTTACCTGCAATATATTACCTGCAGTGGAAAGTTACTTTTAAAAGTAATGCATTACAATATTGCGTTACTTCATAAAAAAGTAACTAATTACGTTACTTAGTTACTTTTTATGGAAAGTAATGTGTTGTGTTACTTTTGCGTTACTTTTTAAATCTGGACAGGGCTTGCTTGTTTGTTTTTAAAATAAAAAAGTTCTATTTTTGGCAAATATAAAAGCCTTTACACACCAAAAGTGAAATGAATAAGCCTCAGGCTGAAGGGAAAGTAAATTTACGTCCGTACAGTAGAATGCAGAAGAAGAAATGTCAACACAC